GCCGCCCCTCCCGCCGCCGCTCGAGGGATGCGCGGGGGCCTCGCCCATCCTCCACCCCCTGTTCCATGACCAGCGTGGCCACAACCTTTTCGTGACAGAGCACCCTACTGGCATTTTAATGATCTGTAAAGCGCGTGGCAACTACTCGGAAGGTGCGGGCGCGGTCAAATTAGAGGACAGACGCCCCCCTACCCGAGGTTCTTGCCGAGCGGGAACCAATTGGAATAGGGCGTGCAAGGGGCAGCCCCCTGATCAACGGCGCGGGAACGGGGTGATTCTTGGCGATCTGATGCCCTTCAGCACGCTGCTCGCGCTCCGTAGTGAATTGACCCCCCGGCAATCCAGGCCCCCTCTTCCTCCCCTTCCTCTCCCGCCGCCGCCCTACCGCCTGCTGCTCCGAGCTCTGCCATTGCCGCTGAGCACAGTCTAAATCTTGGAGTCACTGGCGCTGAAATTGATCCGTTTCTTGCCGACAGCGAAGCTGCTGACTTTTTATTCGCCTCGGGCACTGCTGAAACCAGCGCTCCCAATGCCGCCAACTCAAGTGGGCGACCAGCGCCTGCGCCCGCCCCGCTGCCCGCTGCTGGAGACGTTGCCCCGCCTCCTGTCCCAGAGCCCACTTGTTCGTCGGAGCGGTTGGCTCCCCGCGCGGCGAAGCAAGCTCTGACACAGGAGGTAGATGAGGCACCGCACGAGTCTGAGCCGACTCAGGCATCGGAAGAAGCCGTCTTCCAATCCAAGGTGCGCCGCCTTTTAAGAGCTGCGGGAGGCAGCCCTGCGGAGAGCACTGGCAAGCGCGGGCTCTGAATGGGCCAGCGCGCCGGCGGCGGACATTGCAGAGCAGCCGCGAAGGTATGATCGGGTTCCTGAATTCGCGTGCATTGTTTAAGGTACACCATGTCTCACGCGATGCCATTCAGCTTCACTCGCTTGCCGCCCCCCCACTATCATGCCTCGGCCTTTTGCGGCGGGTTAGCCACCAACGCAGCGCCCCCTTACCTACATCCCATCTCTCACCCAAGCCAGTCCCAACCCCACCGCCCACTTCTCCAGAGGCCGCCCTCCGCCGCGATCCTGCGGGCACTCTGTTTGAAGAGAGATAACCTGCGCAGCCCCCCGTTTGAGGGGGGGCAGGGCAGCCTTTATCCAGCGGGGCAAGAGAAGGTAGCCTAACGGACGCCACTCCTGTCATTTTTTCTTCCGCCGGCACCGACTTTGAGCGCTCCGAGGAGGAGAACAGCCCAACCAAGGTCGCCTTTTTGCGGGGGGGGGCGCCCTACCTTAGGTGTGTAGGGCAACGCTGGGGGCCGCCCCAGCCAGGAAGGTTACGCGCGTTAGAGCACCGCACAGTAATCCAACTCCCAGGCGCTGGTCCACTGGGTGCCTGTTCGGGGGGGGCTAGGCTTAGGTGTTCTGTTTCGGTCTTCCGTATTCGTCCTAGGCCGTGGGGCATCATGTCTTCGTTTCGTCTTTAGGGAGGTGGGCCGGTGTAGGAAGCTGGATGGGGGGGGCGAGCCCACCCTGCATGCTGGGACGAAGCCCGACGCAGGCAGTGCCATCCTTTGGCATATGTTGGGATAGGACAACATCTTGCCTCCCCCGCCTCGTCACCTCGCTCCCTCCCTCCTCCCTCTTTCCCCCTTCCTCCTCCTCCCTCTTCCCCGACTGCGTCGGGGCAGCTCCAGGAGGGGGCCGGGGGCCAGCTTGGAGCGGATCAGTCGCCTTTGAACGAGAAGGTTCACGTCGAGGTTTGAACCTCGAAGCTTGTGTTTCGTGTCCGTTTGCTTTCTGGCCCTCGGTGTCCCTCCTCGTCGCCACGGGTGAACTCATCTCGAAAAACTGCTGCTTCTGGACCCTGAGAGGGGTCCGGCGTGGCGGTCCTCAATTTGCGCGCCTCTAAAAGTTTGTAGAGTCACGCAAATTGTCCAACCCTCTTGTGCGGAGGCTGGCCGGTCCTGAAATTTGCGTGACAAAAATTTTTAGAGTCACGCAAATTGTCCAACAATGTTGTTTGGCTGCTGGCTGGTTGTTACATTCTGGCTATCTCCACACGGGGGCTGCGGCGACAGACATCCCCTAGACATGTCCCGATGGGGATACAGTAAGAGAGGAGCCCGAGCGTGAGCTGGGGCCAAGGCCAGTCCCCAGCCACGCCAGTAAATAGGGTAGGCCTTACGTCCGCACGAGAGCTGGGGGATTTCCCTTCCCTGGCCACGCCAGAGGACTTATAGTAGGGTTGCAGTCCTGCGTGGGCTGGGGCGCCCTCCATCCCCAGCCACGCCGTAGGGGTTGTAAGTTTGGTTTCCGTGCGTGGGCTGGGGCGCATTCCATCCCCCAGCCATACCAGCGGGGCATCAGAAGGACGGGGATCCGTGCCACAGCCATTTTGGCTCAAACCCGTGAGCATCCTGAGAGCCACAGGGGCGCTACTGTGGCAGCTGGTGTGGGGGGGGGAACCCGCCTGGCTACTGCAACGGCTTGGGCGCCGCTCATTCTGCTGAATGGCGGGAGGGGGGAACAAGCTTTCCCTCGCCGAGGCAGCTGAGGGCTTGCTGGCACGGGGTGCCGCGGAGCCCAGAGCTGCGACCAACTACAGGCCCTACAGGGCTGCATGGGGGCTCCTCAGAACAAGCGCCGCTGCTGGCTGCGGTGACCTCACTGCGCTGCTCTTGGGGGTGTTCAGTATCTTCGCCTCCGTCCAAACGCTAGCGGAGTTGGCGCTCTTCCGGATGCGTGACACCGCTGCCACGCCAGTTCTGTCCGCTTTGCGAAACCCGTTTGCTGAACTAGGGGGCAAGTGTTACAATCTTCGGGCCGCCGCCCGCGGCTCCTTCGTCCACGCAGCGCTTAAGAGCAGCGACGTCCTCACGCTTCGAGGCAAGAGCGTCCGGATGCTGTTTTGCTTAAGGCCACCCTCCGCTCAGCGTGCTCTCCGTGGATTGATGGTGTGGCTGCCCTTTCTCCGATCGAAAGCTTTGGCGTTGCACATGCTCCAGAGTCTCCGCCGCTGCCGGAGTTTCGGTGATGATGCTGTCGGCCTCTGCGCCGCGCTCCTCGCGGCAGCCGGAGCGTACCGCCGGCCCGACCTTGCCGGAAACGCTTCCAACAAGCGTTACGTTGAGGCCTCGGTGTTCCGGAATGGCGCTCAGCAGCGCCTGAACATCGATTTGCAGGAATACACCCACGAGAAGGCACTAGGGGCGCTGAGTGCCTTCTTCTTTGCCCTGGCGTTCGACTGGCTGGGAGACGAACGAGGCGAGCTCTTGGGCGAGGAGGACATCCGGGAATTGCTCCAAGGCACCATTTTCCGCCATGGATGGATCCTTATGTTTCCACATGTGTTGGGGGGCCTTAAAGTCTTGGGTTTGGCCGGCACCATGGACTTAAGCACCCGCGGGCTTGGTAACAATACTCGGCTCGGCAGCAAGGTGTGGGGCGATCCATCTGAGGAAATGGTGGCCGCGCTCCGCAATGAGTGGCGGCGCCGGCGCAAACTCGCGCCAGCTGGCAGTACCAGGCGCGCCCTGGACGCACCCCTCACCGGTTTCGACGTGGCCGCCTTGAGGTCTCTGCAGTGCAAAGCAATCCACATCGGGAGGAACTTCATTGCCGCGCGTGCGTTATCCAATTGGCGCTTGGAGGAAGCGCCCCAGCTCACGGCGGCGTCGGCGTCATTGGCGGCTTCCGTAGGCAAGCCGCGGCGCGGTCAGAAGCGTAAGCGGGCTTCATGATCCCTCTGGGTGCGAAGGAGGAAAAAAAAACAGACAGTGCTCTCGTGGCCCACGCCAGAGGCCGCCCTCGCCATCCCCCGCCCCTCCCTGATCCACCCCCCCTCCAGGCCCGCCGACCGCCCCGCTCTCCCTCTCCGCTTGCCTCTGCCCCCCCTTCCCTCTGCACCTTCATCCCGCCGGCTCCCACTGCCCTCCCCCCCTTTCGATGTTCCTCTCTACTTCCTCCTCCCCCGCCCCAGGGCCGGGAGCCCGAGCTGGCGTTCGATGTGGGGCTGCTAGCCAGGGCGGGTCCTCGTTAGCATCCCCCGCTAACAGGCTGCGAGTCGGGGTCTCCCCAAGCAATGGGCTCCCAAAATTGGCAATCCCAAATGCGGCCAACGGCCCCGAGGGACTGCCCAATGGTGGCCCGCTCGCAGTCCTGGCAGCTTGGTCAGTGATCCTCCTCCTCCTACTCCTCCTCCTCCCTCCCTCTCCTCTCCTCCTCCTCCTCCTCCTCCTCCTCCTCCTCCTCCTCCTCCTCCTCCTCCTCCTCCTCCTCCTCCTCCTCTCCTCCTCCTCCTCCTCCTCCTCCTCCCGGCTCCTCCTCCTCCCTCCTCTTCCTCTCCTCCTCCTCTCCTCCTCCTCCTCCTCCTCCTCCTCCTCCTCCTCCTCCTCCTCCTCCTCCTCCTCCTCCTCCTCCTCCTCCTCCTCCCCCTCCTCCTCCTCCTCCTCCCTCCTCCCCCCCCCCTCCTCCCTCCTCCTCCTCCTCCTCCTCCTCCTCCTCCTGCTCCTCCTCCTCCTCCTTCCTCCTCCTCCTCCTCCTCCTCCTCCTCCTCCTCCTCCTTCCTCCTCCTCCTCCTCCTCCTCCTCCTCCTCCTCCTCTCCTCCTCCTCTCTCTCCTCCTCCTCCTCCTCCTCCGCCTCCTCCTCCGTCCTCCTCCTCCTCCTCCTCCTCCTCCTCCTCCTCCTCCTCCTCCTCCTCCTCCTCCTCCTCCTCCTCCTCCCCTCCTCCTCCTCCCTCCTCCTCCTCCTCCTCCTCCTCCTCCTCCTCCTCCTCCTTCCTCCTCCTCCTCCTCCTCCTCCTCCTCCTCCTCCTCCTCCCTCCTCCCCCTCCTCCTCCTCCTCGGATCTCTGGCATGTCAGGTCCTGGGCTCCTCTCCTGAGGGAGGGGGGCCTCTCCCGGCGCTGGCGGAGAGTGCGAGGCCGGCCGCGGCCAAACGCCCGAAGCCCGCTGGCCTCCGCGTGCGCCAACTCGCGCCCGCCCGCCCGACCCCCCCCCCTTCCCGAGAGCCTCCGGCCTCGCCGCCCATGCCTTGGGGGGCAACGCTGCAGTCAACCCATCTCGATTGGTCAGCCATGGACCCCTGACCCTTTGGGAGGGGGCCTAGATGAAGTCAGGAGGGCCAAAAAACAGCAGGGATAGAGTGCGTCTCTTCTGCAGATGCGTCCCTAATGCAGTGACGGGGACATGAGTGAGGGTATTAGGGTCAGGGGTCCTCTCATTCTCGATGACATATGGTAAGGATGCGCGGTAAGGATGTTGAAAAGCCATGCTGACGCTTTTCGAATGCAAAAGCTGCTGGGGATGGCCTGGAGGGGGCAAGGATGCAAGGGTGAACTTGGAGAGCCGCTCATCCTTACGGTGCGGGGTTGACTGCAGGGGCGGACCAGCTCGAGGGGGGCAGGCTCGAAATTGCGAACTTCGAAGTCTGAGGCTCTCCGGCGTCTTCGCTGCTCCTCGGCGGCTTTATACAGCGCCGGGCTGCCTTCCAGTGGCTGCGCCTCGCCGGGAGCGCTCCGGGGCTGCCCGGATCGTCCCGAACGGCCGCCGGAGGCCCGATTGATGAAACGAAAACCACTTAGGGGGCCAGCTCAGGGGGGGAAGCATCGAGCTGGAAGCGTTGGGGATACGTCGGCGATGCATCGGCGAAGGGCCACCGATGGCGAGTCCGCATGGTCCTGGGCGGGGTGTGGGCTCTGGGCGATGACTGGGCGATTGGGGGTCGATGACTTCCCCCGCTGAGCCTGTCGTCCTCCTCCTCCTCCTCCTCTCCTCTCCTCCTCCTCATCCTCTCCTCCTCCTCCTCCTCCTCCTGTTCGCTCCTCCTCCTCCTCCTCCATCCTCATCCTCCTCCTCCTCATCCCTCCTCCTCTACTCCTCCTCCTCCTCCTCCTCTCCTCCTCCATCCTACTCCTCCTCCTCCTCTCCTCTCTCCTCCTCCTCCCCTCCCTCCCTCCCTCCCTCCCTCCCTCCCTCCCTCATCCCTCCATCACTCCCTCCCTCCCTCCCTCCCTCCCTCCCTCCCTCCCTCCCTCCTCCCTCCTCCTCCTTCCTCCTCCTCCTCTCCTCCTCCTCCTCCTCCACCTCCTCCTCCTCATCCTCTCCTCCTCCTCCTCCGCCTCCTCCTCCGCCTCCTCCCCTCCTCCTCCCTCGCTCTCCTCCTCCTCCGCCTCCTCCGCCTCCTCCTCCTCCTCCTCCTCCTCCTCCTCCGCGCCGCCTCCTCCTCTCCTCCTCCTTCCTCCTCCTCATCCTCCCTCCTACTCCTCTACCTCTTCACTCCCTCTCCTCCTCCTACTCCTCCTCTCCTCCTCCTCCTCCTCTCAATTCCTCCTCCTCCTCCTCCTCTCCTCCTCCCTCTCCTCCTCCTATCCTCCCTCCTCCTCCTCCCTCCCTCCTCCCTCCCTCCATCCCTCCCTCCCTCCCTCCCTCCCTCCCTCCCTCCTCCCTCCCTCCCTCCCTCCCTCCCTCCTCCCTCCTCACAACTCGAGCCTCTGGCGGCCGCTCGGGGTGGTCCGGGCGCCCATGGGAACGCCCTCCACGAGGCGCAGCCGCTCGAAGGCGCCCCGGGGATGGAGAGCCGCCGAGCACCGAGGAAGACACCCGAAAGCCTCGGACCTCGAGATTTTGAGGGGGGAGGAGGAGGAGGAGGAGGAGGAGGAGGAGGAGGAGGAGGAGGAGGAGGAGGAGAGAGGACGAGGACGAGGGAGGAGGGAGGAGGAGGAGGAGGAGGAGGAGGAGGGGAGAGAGAGAGGGTTGGAGGAGGAGGAGGAGGAGGAGGAGGAGGAGGAGGAGGAGGAGGAGGAGGAGGAGTAGGGGTGGAGGAGGAGGGAGGAGCGAGGACGAGGGAGGAGGAGGAGGAGGAGGGAGGAAGGAGGAGGAGAGGAAGGAGGAGGAGGAGGAGGAGGGAGAGGAGGAGGAGGGAGGAGAGGACGAGGTGGAGAGGAGGAGGAGGAGGAGGAGGAGGAAGGAGGAGGAGGGAGGAGAAGGAGGGGAGGAGGAGGAGGAGGAAGAAGAGATGATGATGATGATGATGATGATGATGATGATGATGATGAGAGGAGAGGGAGAGGAGGAGGAGGAGGAGCGAGGAGGAGGAGGAGGAGTGAGGAGGGGGGAGGACGGGGGGCGAGATTAGAGCAGGAAACAAACACAAAAAAAATAAGCATAAACGTTCGACGCTCCGCGCGGATTTCTTGGATCTGCACTGGACCCCCATCCCTGGCGCGCGGAGCGCGCCAGGGGCGGCGCCGGAGGCGCCACCAGGGGGGCCCGGCGCAGATCCAAGAAATCCGCGCGGAGCGCCGAAAGCTTGTGTTTCAGTGTTTTTTTCTTCTGCGAGAGATCGAATCTGCCTCCACCCGAGCCTCTCCCCCCCTCCGCAGGCGTTGCCCCTGCGTGCCCTTGTAGGCGCTCTTGTACATCTCCGGGATGTCCGGGTTGCGGGGGGACGCTAGCCTCCCGAGGGGCTCCTGCTGCACGAGGGCCGTGGCCTCGGCGGCCTTGGCGTAGA